AATAAAAAAAAAAGAATCTCTCACCGTGTTATTAATTACAGTTATTTTGGACAAACCCCATTGAGAGGGTTCTTCCTATAGTGAGTTGAGATCAGAGAGCCCCGTGAACAGCCAATCAATTGGCTATGAGATTGAGCCTTGGGAAGAGCAGGGCAGTGACCCTTAACCCACTGGGGCCCAGTTTCCTCATCTGTAAGGTGGGAAGATTAGAGAAAGTGTTTCAAAGCTTCCATGAGTTAGTGGTTGTCATGGAAAGAAAGGTAAAGATCTGTGTGTAAACTGAGCTTGGTTCCGTGGTTTGCTCAAGGTTTTACTGCTGGCCAGGAACCCACGCCTCTAGCAAACTGTCCAGTGCTGTGCCCATCACAGTAGCACAGCCACAGCGAGAGCCACATGTTCCCAGCTTTCACAGGTCTCCATTGCTGACTTTAGCCAAGGGTTAACCTTAAACATCAGATCCCTGAATTGTATGTCCAAACAAAGATTGTAACCCTCTGAGGCAGTGCCGTATCATACTGCATTTGTGTTCCCCATGGTTTCTACTCCCATGCTGGGCCAAAAAAGGGTGCTGACTAAATATCTTTTGAATAGACTTGGATAACAGAAATCACTCCCACCAGCTACCCAATCCTGCAGCCAGTGGATGCTGGGGGCAACGTCTTCTTGGTATTACTTCTAAGATGAGCCAAAGAGCAGATTCGACGTTGCAATTTGGGTGAGGTTCCCTGATGGGAAGCAGTCTCTCCAACCAAGCAAAGAAACTTTATTATATACCTAATATTGGGGAAGGAGTGGAGAACCAGTCATGCCAGTCAGAAGTGTGAAAGCAATACTTCTGGGGAGAACGAAAACTAATACAACATTTTTGGAAGGCAATAGGCAATAGACAGCAGTAAGGACTGCTGTTTTTTGTTTTTGTTTTTATTTTTTTTAATACACAAGTGACAGAAAGCCTGACTAGCAGTGTTTGGCTAATAAACATGTTTTATAACCCAGAGATTGGTGTTTACAGATTTGACACACCAGCTCATGATGCCATCAAGACTCCATGATGTCATCAGGGATCTGGTGCCTTTCCTTCCACACTGACATCTGCAGTGTGTTAGCTTTGGCTCTTAGCCTTGGCAGCTCTAAGCATTTTATCTTTACCTTTATATAAAATGCCAGAAAGAGGGGCCTTACTTTCATCAAAGCACTCTCAGCAATATTCTCTTTATAGCTCATTAACCGAAACTGGGTCCTGTTCCTCACCTGCCCTTGCCCCATTTTGAGAGATCCAGAGAAAGCAAGTTTCTGCTGAGAGGAAATGAGATCTCCACAATTGGCTTAGGCTTGTTGTAATCTATCACTTGGAGCAGGTATGTTGTTGTCCCAAAGAAAACTCGGATTTTCTTAGCAAGAAGGAAAGGGCAGGGCCTGTTGTGTGGGCCACTGAGTCTGTGTATGTTCTTTGATCTAGCCTTTTCAGTTCTAGAAATTTATTCAAAGCAACGCAATCATGGAGCAACACAAAGATTTAGCTCCTAGGATGGTCATTGTAGTGCTTTTTAATGTCTAATAATAAGGGATTATTTATATAAACAATATGACTTTTAAACATTGGAAGAATATTAGGCCATGTAACATAATATAGAAGACTATGTCATGCTATGGAAAGCATCCATGATGTAATATCAAGGGAAAAAAGTGGGTTGCAAAACACTATATTCAGATGTGAGTCCAAATTTGTAGAATATATCCATCTATATCATTAGAACTTTACTTTACTCTCCGAATTGTCAAAATAGTCCATGATGAACCTGTATTACTTTTTACCCTAACTTTTTATTTTGAAAAATTTTAAATGTACAGAAAAAAGTTGTAGTTGTAAGAATTAACACCAGTTCTTGTCATTTAGCCATATTTGCTTTATATCTCTCTATACATATACACAGGTATATACGCACGCACGTGTGTGTGTATGTTTTGTTGAGCCATTTGAGGATTAATTAAATGCATCATGACACGTTGGCAAAATATATTTAAATATTTGACAAATATA